AATTCTATACATGTTTTCAGTCATCTCTAAAACACATATTGTCCTGTGAATGCAGTAAAACCCTTCAGAATATGTAATATCACATTAACATGTTTATGTGAGGTGTGTAATACAAAAAATATGGAAATAAGATACAGGAAAACAACAATTTGAACTGAAAAAACGAAACTGCAGAACAAATGAATAGCCTTATCAAAATGTGTAGTGTTTAATTGTTTGATAAAAATCTAGACTGCAGATTTCAATAGGTTGTTATACATTATGTAATTAAACGTCCTGTATCAATCATTTTCAGTAATATATTGTTTCCTGATTTAATAATAATTTGCTGTATTTTTAGTTTCGTAGTTTTTCCAGTCAAGAAGTAAATATGAGTAACCAAGGATCATTATGCGAGATGAAATACATCACGTTTATGCAGAAGCATGAGATCTGTGACAAATAATGGATCCCCTCGGAACCCCCAACGACACACCCAACCTCAAAACTGGCAAACAGCCCCTTCGATACCATCACTCAAAAAACCATTAATTGTTTGAAACTTCTCAAATACATCAGAGAATTTACTGCTGCGTGTCTTTAGCATGAATTCCAAACTTGTAATACCAACAAACACGCGCTACATGTATGAACAGGGAAGTCTGTGATGTCTAGATAGAATTACTTGCCCCCAACACACCAGATGTTTTGGCAGACATATAATGCTGCTATTTGGTTACGATATATTTCGTTTTTTGGTTTTTTTTTTGTTTTCTTGGAGCTTGTACAAATTGAAGAGCTTTTCCAACCTCAAACTAAATTCCAGTTCAAATAATTGAAAATATTGGTTAAAAGCTTATTTGCAAGGTTCTGTGTTGCAGTGTTTAACCTAACAAAAGGCGTCAAGGTCTGGTTCCTGTGTTACGTTCTCATCTTGTCATCTTCTCAAGCAGTTTTCTTATTCCCCGCAGATTCTGAGTCAATAAAGACGCTGCTGTTTCTGCTGATGATGATGGATTGCAATTGCAGAGTTAACAGAAAGCACAATTAAGTTAAAAATGATATTTCATCTAGGTCAGTCAGCAGTTAAAATGTATTTTTCCTTTATCGAATAATGACAATAACCTGTAGTGAAATTACCCAAATTTAGAGTGTTGTTCCCGCAACTAATCGCACAGGTATTAAGATTGTTTAACTCGTTATCAGTTTAATGTTGACGAGTTAAGGTGTCATGCAGCCGTCGTCAGGTTCTGGCATATCAGTGTGACAGCGCTATAAAAGTGACGCTGTAGTCACTAGGGTGTCACGGGGTATTTTGTTATGTTACAGTGTCTAAGTAGATACATTTCAGTGTGATAACACTATAAACGTGTCCCTGCAGCTAGTAGGGTGTCACGAGGTATTATGTTATATTACAGTGTCTAAGTAGATACATTTCAGTGTGATAACACTATAAAAGTGTCCCTGCAGCCATTGGGGTGTCACGGGGTATTGTGTTGTGTTACAGTGTCTAAGTAGATACATTTCAGTATGATAACACTATAAAAGTGTCCCTGCAGCCAGTAGGGTGTCACGGGGTATTATGTTATATTACAGTGTCTAAGTAGATACATTTCAGTATGATGACACTATGAAAGTGTCCTTGTAGCTACTTAGGTATTGGAGGCCTAGAGAAGGCACAATGCGTTTGAAAATTTGCCGCCATCGATTGCTCAACTCATCGTTACCACAGTTAACCAGTCAACAAAATTAAATGTAAACGACAGTGTATAAAATTTAGACTTTACAATGTGGTCTGATATTAAAAAGGGCGATAAATTTTCGGTAATTCACAATATCTCAAGAATATTGTCTACGAAGTGAAATGTTGAGTTTCCAGTTTTAATCAAACTCGGAGTTTAAATTCAGTGTTTGTGTTCCATGCTTCATACAAACGAGACCAAAATCTTTCATCGATATTCACTTGATTCCATTACGATGTATAAATTTACCATCTCTGACGACCGTAACTGATTTGGATTGATGTTCTAGTCTGTCATTACTACGAATCATCTATATAACAATAACGAACGGCTTTATCTCACATCTATTAATAAAGACTCTAATTTTGCGTGTGTCATTGTCACGTGATGAGCGGTAGTGAGGGGGTCGTTTCCTTCCTCTCGCTCCTGACTTTTATAGGAGGAATTCTTATATATAATTAGTTAACTAAATTAAGATCACCATGACCACAATTTCCTCTCTCATTCAGTTTCAATCCGACGTTAGTAATTAGCCCTCGGAGGTCTGTATTGTTAAACTAGCCTAAAATCCCGGAATTAAAATGAATGTCATTTGGACGGCGGTCAATTTTACTAATTTCATTTTCTATTATTAAAATCGATTGAAGAAAATATCATGTTTCCTTTGTATGTGAAATTTGAGTTTTTGATGTATAAAATAGGGATATTTGTTTGTCTTATCTTTTTTTTTAATTTTGCAGATCGAACCAAGGTCGAAATACAGAATGTGCCAAAAAGGATTGTATATTGATTTTTTAATCATAACGATACATGAACAACAATGGAGAGATAGCACATAACGAAGACACCAATATTAAAGGGAAAACAACATATCGGGTGGCTGACACTAGAAATACAAACAGAAATATCATAGACACGTTAAAAAGTGTGGACGACACAACTCCATGAACTTATGAAAAAGCAAAAAGAAAGTGAGAAAGTCGCGAGGCGGAATTACACCGAAAACACATTGAACAAAGTGGACGCCAAAACTAAAAGGAAAACTTCATGCAGTGAGGACACGCTAAAAGGAAACCATTCCACACTTCGTGAACGCCAACACTTAAGAGAAAACATTTTAACAGTGGGGGAAAAACTCGTTTCGCCAAAATTTAAATTTTAAAGCAATTCTATGCAACTTGTAAGTGACGTGATGTATAAAAGCAATTTACAAAAGAGTGTTTCTTTTTTAAACAAAATAGTTGGGAAAAGAAAACTTGTGAAAGATCCAAACCTATTTTCAGATAAGAATCTTTAACAAATTGAATACCATCCGCCAACCCTTGCATACAAGTAAAAGGCATCCATTTCGAAAATCTTATAAAGACTCCGTTTTTGTTTCCTTCGCCAAATTGCCCTGTACGTTAGGAATATGATCATGTATAGTTCATTTCAAGGCTACACAGCCTTAATTACAATGAAAATAATGTTTTCTCGTGGTCGGCAGTTCTACTCTGAATAATTTGAATAATCAACAACAGAGCGTATTCCAAAAATTTGATTCCCTTCACAAAGAACGGCTTGAGACCTTGAAATACACAAGCGCGTTTTCTCAACAACAGGTTTTCTACACTCTATGCCATACGCGATAAGACAAGCACGTAAAGCCATTTAAAAAGGCGACTGTTTCGCAGATGAAGAGCGTGGATGTAACATAATGAACTATATATATATATATATGTGTGTGTGTGTGTGTGTGTGTGTGCGCGCGCGTGTGTGTTCGTGGTGTGTGTGAGATGGTGTGTATACATGTGTGTGTTTAACAGACCACCTGTAGCTAATTTCAGGCGGGGCTTTGTACTTTGCTTGAAATATACATATATTCCATATATAAACAATGTGTCTAAATTTATTCGGCAAATCGAGGTTCTTAGAAGTTAATAGGCTTCTTTTTATATGAGAAATTTAGGAAGGTTTTCACAGTTAATACTTTCCGAAATCCCGAGAAGAATATTTCATAGAAAAAGAAAGATCGCTTCTTAATTCCATCAAAAGATTTTACGAGCCTATGAAAATGAACAGAATCACCCCAACCTTTGTACCTTAAAGCTTTTAAGCACCGTTCTATGGGGTTTAACTGGCAATAGTGGTGCTTTATCGTCGATATTATGGGCCTGGCAATATCGCTATCTCTCAAGTAAAACCAAGAGATCTCTTATATGAAATATTAGACGGAGTAGTTGCCAATTTTTGGATTTTAAACAATTTGCAGATTTTGTAGCAAATCAAAGCAAGCACTATTTCAGAAGCAGTTTTGAAATTCGCGATAGGATATCTTGAAATACAATTAAATGAAATAAGATCTTTCAACATTTTAGATGACAAACCAACCGTAATGTTTTATGTGATATATCATAGAATTATATTAATTCTGGATAATTTAATCAAATATATATAATTAAATAGTGGGATTTTTTTTAAAAACAAAAATTCGGTTTCAACGTTCGTGACTAGGTAGAGGGACCGAAAACACAGTTTTGACGACAACAAACACGATGTACAGGTGGACAAGTGTGACGTCATTGCACAGTGATGTGCTTTGCAACATTTATTCCGTAATTTTGATAACTTGCTATTTTACTTTTTAATGACTGAACAGTGAATTTAACTTCTCCTTAAGTAAGAGTACCGATTTAGAAACACCACTAGATAAAACCTCTTCATCTAATTATCTGGATTCAGATCAACCATGAAGAAACAATCACGGTTTTTATATCTTTTTTTCACTTTTATTTTATTCCTTTTTTAGTGGGAAACCAAAGAATTATTTTCAAAATGTATTTTTTGTAAAAAAAAAATGTAATATTTCATTGAATATTCCACCAGTACTGTACGTGTTTCATAAGGAAAACGAATGCCGGTAGAGGTCAAGACTATTTTTAAAAGCCTGGTCAGCTTCACAGAATGTTTTGAAACAGAAATTCATAAAATATCCCAAAGAATTTATATCTCAATCTGGATATCTACCGATAACAGGAAATTTTATTTCACATTCAGAACTGAATCTGTCTGAATTTAAATATTTGAACAATTTATATATATATATATTTTTTTTAGAAAATTTGTGAACAACTATAAAGCTGACAAGTCTTTCTGTACCTGGGTATCTGAAGTACACCAAACCTATGTATCTATCCTAGGGCATGTTGAACCACACACACCCTATTCCAGATGTAACCAGGATCATTGGCGGGATTGCCTCTTAATTCTACCCCCCACGAAGCCACTTTAAACACTTACCTTCCTGTAACCTTCATACTGGTCCATCGTCCAAATTAACGTCTTCATCCTCATCGTCCTCGTCATCGCCTTCCTCATCGTCGATATCATCTTCCTCATTGTCATTATCATCCATGATTTTCTCCTTTTCTGTGTCAGAAACCTTTTTCATAATCAATATGTCACTCTTGACATGATCAAAATTCAAAGATGGCGTCGGTGCGAGACAACATTCCTCGTCCTCATTTGTAAATGCATGGCCATTTTGAAGCGTAAATGACTGAGTTTTACGAATGTTTTCACTACTTTCATATTTAACTATAGCCGATCTAGGTACACTCAAATGTCGAACCTGGAGCGACTGAGTCCTTCGTAAATGTCCAGTTTGAGCACTTCCGTTTTGATGAAGAGCTTTTCTTTGCATTAAAGACATTCGGAAAGATGAAGAACGTTTGACGCTCCCTTTACGTTTGTCTTTATAACAAAATAACTGTACTTTTCTTCTTGTATATCGTATAAAAGAATTCCGTAAAATTTTATTTCTTATACCATAGATGGCGCTATTGGTCATCGGCGCTGCCTGGAATAAAGTCGTTACTATGGAAACCAACATAGGATCTACCTGTCTTCTTCCGGTTGCGGTTTCCACCAATATAACAATTGAAAAGGGTATGTAAGTTAGAGTAAAAGCTCCTACGAGCTGGAGGATGGTCAGCATTGCCTTTGTGCCTTTAATGGAGGTCGACAATGGGGCTGTGGCTTGTGTATTAAGGGCTATTGGTGCCTGAACGACACACGCCATTCGAACCATAGTCGCGGCAATTCTGCTACTTTGTGTCCGCGCTATGCGGAATATATGTGTATAGCAGTATATCATAACTATTAGTGGTATATAAAACATTGCACTTACTAGCAGTCCAACATACCACCGACCCAACACATCCAGGTGATTTATAAAGCACGTGCCTGTTACAGGTGAGAATACATAAGAATTTCCACCAAAAAGCGGCGGTAACGCCATTATAAATGCACTCAACCAAAACACTGAAAATAATGACGTCATTTTACGCGCAGTGGCCGTTAAGGAATGATGTAATGGGGAAGCAATCGTTTGATACTTGTCCCAACTTAAAGCGGCGATTGTCCATGCGCTTGTTAACGTAAAAGATGATTGCAGGAATCCATACGCATGACACATGATTTGTCCACCTATCCAGTACCCACATAAACTGACCACTCCGGCGTAAAGAGTGGTCAGTATGGACGAGGCTAGCCCTATTGCCCCTAAGTGAACGAGTAATATATTCCGGACTGTCCGTAACCTCCTGTTCGGAACAATAGCTACGATCATGAAAACGTTGAAAGCACTGCCTATAACAGTAAACACCAGTAGGAAGATGCCATGGACTATTCCCTGTCCCTGAGTACTCCAAACAGTGGCGTGTGTTTCCCGAAAAGAGGCGGAAGTGTTATATATATCGCCCCAGAAGGAGTAATTCACCTCCCCGTCACTGTAACGTCCAGGGACTGTCATAGTTGTATGAACCCCTCCTCGATCCCGTGGGTGAAGAAGGCATCACAATGTGTGGCCCGTCCCCACTCCCTCAAAAGACCCTCCGTGATATCGTCTCCCATCAGAATCAATCTGTACTGAAATGTTGTAGCACACTTACATAACATCCGCGTTGGACGTCTCGCGAGAGGATACAAAACCACCTATCACTGATATTCAACCAACTTATCACTTTTCTCAGCAATTCTTACGCATGTGTACTTACGATCTCCATGGCCTTTTTTAAAATAGATATTTATCAGCTCTATAACAACAGTTTAATATATATATATATATACCTCTTTATGGAATCGGAAAGACTCTGTACACTCGAAACTCTATCCGATACCTGCTTCCGTTTTCTTGACCGAACTCCGTGGTGTTAACGTCCAAAGAGGTTTACCAGCAAACATTGATATTTAGACATTAAAATCTCAAAAACCGCAGTCACCTTTAAATAACATAACAACCACTCTTTTGCTTAGTCCTACATAAACGTTAACGTTAGGCAGTCGACGATAGTTTCAAAAGATCCTTCCGACGTGATATTCCGGGACTGGAAACACAAAACTTTTAATACTACTGTTGTCCTTTCTGTAGTAAACTTTCAGAGATAGAAACTGCTCTGGTGTATGCTTATTCAACCCGCTCTCCAGTATATCGACTTTCTCTTGTTCCACGTGTTAGCGTGATGAAAGCGAAAATAAGCTAGTAGTCCAATTCTACACAGCTCCGTCGTTCACAATCCTGTGGATCCAAGATATAACATTTTACACGCTTACATATCCTCTGTTTTAAACATAAACCCATACTTCACGACTAAAAGCAACACTGCAAAAAAAAATCCACTCCGATATTGAAAGTAGTTATGAACGATGTAAACACACACACAGCCGGTGTACAAAGCGGCCAGATTGTCTCCCGAGCGAACATTAACTCGCCACTTACAGATCTATAATATTAACGTTGCTGGCAAACAACTCGAGCGATATGAACGCTCTAACAGGTAAGTCCGAGAACGGGATAGTTACATGGTAGTATGCGAAGTTTACATGAAAAACTTGTAGGGAGCGTACCGATTACTGACAGCGGGGCTGAGACGAAACCTGAACTAACGGTAGATTCTCACAACACAGCGAGCAACTAGCAAGCACGCGCGCTGGACAGGAAAAACTATTTTTGGCACCACGCTACGAAGTTATTGCTGATTCGTGTGTAAGATTCATTTTTACTGAGCGAAAAGAAAATATAATGAGTGAGAGATATGTGTAATAGTGATGGAAGACGCCAATCTATTGCTATCCTTAAACAAGGACGGTGCGTGATCACCCGCACGCGCTGACGTTCTCGTCAGTAGTGCGTAAATCATATATCTATGATTAATATATAATATGGAATTGATAATGTTAGTTATTGTAGTGGGCGAGTAGGTCGTAAATCTACCAATCCAAGAGGTACGTTCTCGTCGATATATATTTATGTACGCTTTCGGGGTACAGGGAAAAGTTAAACCGAGACAGGAACCCTTGGTTTCGAATATAGACGTTCTTGCGTGCATGCAAAATCAAATCATTGTACCTGATTTTAAACTTTTTAGCTGCAGCATCTGAATGGCTTTCATCTGTCTCTCTGTTTATTAGTTACATTGCTGTTATATAATGAACACACGATATTTTGAAAATAACGAGGCCGAAAATTACACATTGCAAGAACATAAAAGAGGACCAATCGGATTAATTCACACGCATGTATATATGTAGACATCAAAATTGTTTAAAACTCTCGAGAGAGTGACGGGTAGGAAAAATGTTCCATATACCGAGTGGTGAGAGGATGGGGGCGGGGTTGTATGATTTGCTTCAACTATTAAAAGGCTGTAGCAGGCCAAGGTTGCCAGTAAGTTGTTTTCTTTGTAATATCTAAGTGCTCACCTGTGCCATGTTTTTCTTTTCAATTAAACAAATGATTCTACAGACTTGCGAGAGTCTTGTTGGCGAACTTTTACGCTTTGTTCTGTTGAGGTCTCCTTGTTAAAACTAAAATCTGTGATTTTTGGTCATGTCGATAAAGTGTTGATTGAAATCTGTTTTCAAGAATTCCAACAGAGTACTTTCTTGTCCAGTTTTGCACCTTGGAAACACTACACTCGTTAACAGACTAATATTATGTTCGAGTTTCTGGTCCCTTCCGATGCAAACGGTACATATGTAACGATATTTTCAGAAGAAATGGATTGAATTTGGAGCAAGCTGCCTACAGTCAATCTACTGAATACTTGATGTAACAGACAGTATCGATATCTGGGGATATTTGGAAAATATGTTAGCTGGAATAGGAAAGGAAACCCCCTCCTCTCCCCCTCTCTGTCTGTCTGTCTGTCAGGCTCTCTCTCTCTCTCTCTCTCTCTCTCTCTCTCTCTCTCTCTCTCTCTCTCTCTCTCTCTCTATCTGTCTATCTGTCTGTCTGTCAGGCTCTCTCTCTCTCGTTAAAATCCATATAATTTTTATGGCAAAGTGTATATAACAAATCTGTATATTTTAATTTTTCTCCATGTCATTATGTGACTATTCAAATATATATTTGTTTTATATCATATTGGTAGAAGTCATTAATAAGTTGGTAAAATTTGCTGACTCGTCTACTTGTCATGATAGGCCAATAGAATATGTTTAAACTGAACAGAGGAATCCTGTAGGAAATAAACTAAAAGTTGTTATTAAGAAATGACGTCATCATCTGATGCCTCGAAACTATTCAATTTCTAAAAATAGATGTTGATTATTGTTGTTTTGTTTACTTAATTATACATTGCATTTATAACGGCAGGTTTAGCGTCGAGATGGAAATATATCTCCAAAGACCACAAGTTGTTCTGAGTTTTTTTAAAGAAAATTAATAGCCATTTGACGCCACTGTGCACAATGCCATGAAACTTATCCACAGTTTTGATACAGCACCGTGATCAACTAGTGACCGGCGAGATCCGTGGTCAGCCTGGCCACGTGTCCGGTCAGCGGCCTAGTTAGCAGGTCAGTATCAACAGATCGATATCGTTGCATTAATACTTTATGACGTTCGACCAGTGATAACTATCTACATGCGGTCTGCAACATACGATATCATCTTTACATCTTAGGATCGTGGACAGAATAATCAATTATATTCCAGAAATATTACGTCACTTTCATTTTTCATGTCTTTCCAGTTAATGCAAAATAGAACTTCTAAATTTTATCACGGAATACTTAACGATGTACTGTGCCATTCTTTCGTAGTGTCATAGCGCCCGGAGATGGTGGTGACATTTATAATTTAGTAACTGCCATGAGAGATCCGACACACACGTCACTGTGAGATGAACAAACGTCTAATATAGTTCTCCCTCTTTCAAATATTGTACAAAAACACACACAAGTGAAGAGCACGTTTTAAGACAAAGTTTGAGTTAGATAGAGTGGAGCCAAACAATGAATTTAACTCTGTCATGCAGTCATGCGAAGGACCTAGAGTTTAAAACCTGGAAAGCAACTTTGGAAAAATCACCAGTTATCGGAAGAAATGTCAAAATCTAGACGCAGAGATGCATTAGCCTAAAAACTCTAGAAATTGCGGAAATTTCATATATATGATAAGTCCGAATCATTTACGTACTGAGCCATGCCACTATTTAAAAAAATGAAAATAGCGATGGTGAGAGAACTTTCTCAAGCATGTTTGAATTATCATTATTTTACCGTATCTCACAGTTGCCTCGTGTATCCTTAATATTATTGGTGATATATAATCACCACCAAGTGTTTAGTAATATAATATAAATCACAGGGGACATGGTCTACTGACAGAGATGATCGACAATGAATTATTTATGGTGTTCATAATTCCGGACAGTTCGTTTGGCGAACCTACTTTCCGATGGCTACTCCGATTTGATCAATTTGATGCGGGATGGTCGATAGACATTGATGAATAATCATGCTAACTTCATAAGTAATGTAGGCATTGCCACATAAATGTAAGACCGCCAGAAATCTGTTCGACCGACGGTCAACTGGTCAGTTGGTTATGTACTGACCTTTGACCTTGTGACGTAAACATGTAGCTATCTAATATAAAATATTGACTTTATATCATAATCCCTGAATGTGAGACTACACATATAATTGGACAAGGTCGAGTTGTGATCGCTGATATAATGACATCAGGCATATGAAAACGCCACGCTGTTAAAGAACTAAATGTAAAATGGCGTCAAACAAGATTTTATTAACACAAATTCAGGTTGATATATGGTGGACTTGATGACTTAAAAATGAAAAAAAAAAATTCTCTTTCAATAAATTCAACATTTCAATGGCAATAGTAAAATTGATGATTTTAAACGAACAAAGCAATCAGCGGTGAAAAACGACACGACATGTACAAAGCCTAATGTTTATAACGGGCTCACCTTCCTCAGTCGTTTAGAGCGCTGGCTCTAGTAACTTAGGAGATGATTGTCTACACGTGACGGTTTGTGTTTCTTAGGATGCTGAGATCCATCTGTGTTAACACGTTTGTACCCTTTGGCAAGACAACAATTGCTCTGAATGGTAAACGACGCACCTCCAGTATGTTATTCAGTAAGGTGGTAGCCAACTAATAGAAGGTGACCACACCTCAAAAATCTATAAGTGAAGATAAAATGCTAAATCCGTATTAATATATTGACTCATTTAGTTGTCGATTTCCGTGTGAAGAAAAAACGGAGAAACTCTCCTCGCTTTAGGGTAATGTGGGAAACCGACCCGATATTTGGTGACGTGAGAAACCGACCCGCTATTTGGTGACGTGAGAAACCGACCCGATATTTGGTAACCTGAGAAACCGACCAGCTATTATGGTGACGTGAGAAACCGACCCGCTATTTGGTAACGTGAGAAACCGTCCCGGTATTTGGTGACGTGAGAAATCGACCCGGTATTTGGTGACGTGAGAAACCGACC